GCTGAAGTATTTTTAATTGCACAATAGTAAGCATGATTTCTTTTTTACTGGTAGAAAGAAAACCCAGTAGGCATATATACATGGAGAGCAGTAATCAGCAGCAAGGTTCCAGGAGCTCTCAGCCTTACATAAACAGTTTCCAAACCTTTTGAAAAAGTCTCTGCTACCAAAAAAGTGGAGGAGTGGGCAGGGAAGATAATGCATAGTTCATTAGAGTTTGGAGGACTTTGAAGTTGAATCTAACCCTTTCCTCAAGAGCACTTCACCGTCTTTTTGTTATTCCTTGAGGAACAGCATCTCTAACCTGACTTCACCTACAGCATGAACACATCTTGCACCATGTGCCCCCACCTGAAACTTTCTAGCTGAGCATCCCAACATAGGTCATGAGCTCACCAACAACAGACAGCACTGGGGACCTTCCCACATACACCAAGGCAAGAGGCCATCTGGATACTAACAGGGGTTAACAGAAGTCAAGCGTTTGAGAAATTCTATTAATTTTAATCCTTTTGACTGAATGAGGTCAGGAAGCAGTTAAGTAGTGATTGCAGTGATTTATGGGGGTATCAGTAAGCCACATATAATCAACTGTGGGCAATGGACTTCCTCCAGGAGCTGGGACTAGAACAGATGTGGCAACAGCAACATTTCTTTAAACAGATTTTTATAAAGCCCATTGGATTTTTAATATCTTGGGTTTTACTGTAGCTGAATTACACCCTATGTTTGAGTGAGCAATTCTTTCACCCCATCTCCAAATGAAGGCAACAGTTATAGCTCAGACAGCCAAAGTCACTTCTTCAGCCGGGCTTCACACATCCCACCACAACAACAAACTGGCACCAGAAGCCTCCGAGCCATGAACAAAACTGCTCCTAGACCTCTACAATTTACAGCACAGCAGTTTAAAAATGGAAGTCAGCGGTTTCCTACATTCAGATACCACGTTGGGCCATGAAGAGTTGGGAAGCAGGTTCATGAGAAACCCTGAGCAGTGACAAGGAGAATTACTGGAGCAGTGACCTTGCCTATCATAGCTTGTTACAAAGCATTGAGGCAGCAGTGATCTCGAGAACTTAGGAGCATTTAAGGCTGACAGACCCTGAACATCCGCTCTTTCCAGTGATGCCTCCATTCCATTGTCCGATTCAAAGATAATTACCACCCTGACGCCATGAAATCATATTTTGCCAACATGACTTAAACAGAAACCAAAACCTAGGGCTGATAACTAGGAGCCTTACCACTGGCATTTTACACGCAGCTCTTGTAAAGGTAAAGATGTTTCCTCACGCAGGCCACAGAGCTTGGCGACCCAAACCCTCTGACAACTAGACTCCTTTCTTAAAGCAGTGGCCCCAGAAAGGTATCTGGAATTCAGTTCATCATGGTATAAGGATATGCCAGAATCATCACAAAACCAGTCTGAGCAAAATCATGTTTATTCCAAGTCTTCAAAGGGCCTCCTAAGCCTTTGGGTATTCTTCCTGAATACCCTTCCAATGAACTAACTCCAGTTTCAGATCTACATCTACAAAGGATATTGCTAAATACACGTTGACACTAGTGTTAAAGCTGGCCACTCTAAAGCACAGCAGGCAGAATAGTAAAGTTTCATCTGAAGCTGAAGAACCGACAGTTAACAAGCATCGAAGGTAACCAAAACCCAAGAGAAGCTGCCACTACAGCAAGACTTGAGATGCCAATTTGGAGTATTAGTGATTTAAATGATACATCCCTGCCATAAGAAATTCCAATATCCCTAGAAAAGCATAAAATTTGGAGAAATTCAGCTATGAAACACAAGGAAGAGTGAAAACTCCTAGCAAGGGTAGAAGTAACAAGAAAAAAGCTGCTGTAGATGGCTGCACCTTCACAGAACCCACACTTGCACTTGAGGAAAACCAAGCCTCCAACATGAGTGGAGATCATCTCAGGGACTCAGATTCTGCAGGATCATGCTTAGTCATCAATGGATTGATGAGAAAAGTCCAAGAATTCATAATAATAGATTTGTCCCATCCTCAGGAGTGAATATATAGTATACTTCAAAAGAATTTGTGAAGATAGTACAGCTTCTCTAGGAAAGAATTTTAACATACTCTTTAGTTACACTCAAAATAAACCTTGTGTCAAGAAATGGAATAGGTGATGTAAAAAGTGGAGCAAGAAATGGAAGTTATTTCACCTCCAAAGCAAAACTGGGATAACTACACTTTACACTCCAACCATTCTTCCCAGCAGGGCCTGTACAAGAACTGCTACCTTTCATCTTTTGTGCTGTCATGAACAGACCAGAAATGAAGACAGGACCAAGCACTGACATCACACTTTTACAAGCCACTGGTCTTCCAGATTCTCCATTTGTGTCCATCTCCCACAGCACAGTAATAATGCAACCAGGTGGCGAAGATCATGCCACTCAGCAGACATTAGAAATGCTAGAAGTTCCAGAAACTCCTCGCCAGCCCGACTTAGATGTTACTTGAAACTTTTCTCGATTAAATGAGCATCACTGCCCGGGTCATGCCGAGTGGCGCTAGCTAGCTTTAGTCAGCCCTCCCTGTTCCTCCAGCAGTGTCATCTTGAAGAGGTAGATTATAGACTGATGACTAGACCCACTGACCAAATCCCTCAGCTTGTTTCTCTCCTTTCTAGGGTTTGAAAATGGAACCATGGAAGACTGTCAACTGAAGCAGATACATCTTCTACTTCCTAGAAAGGCAACACTGCATGCTGCCTATCACAAATGAAAGGAAACCAAAAACAGTTTCACCATCTCCATCTTAACTACTTCAGACCAACACCAAAATGTAAGATTTCAGTTTGGTTATTAGGAGAGCACTATCTGGAAATCAAAACATACCTTTAACTGACTCCTGTCATGGCCAAACCACCAGAATTCACTTCATCAACTCAATTAACTTCAGCTCTATTCTTTACACCAAGCAAACTTCAGCAGGTTCCATGGCCAATGGCCACCACTCCAGGCTGTGTCAGCAGCAGCAACGACAGTGCCACCTTCAAGAAGTTTTGGGATCCCCAGAGAACCCTACCAGAGCTGGCCTAAAAGCCCCACCAGCTCAAGTTCTCAAAGAAGTTTCTGTCTATGGCCTGCTGATCTTAGCCAGCATTCAGACTTTACCCTAGTAATACTCACAACTGCTTTTTCCCCCCCCACTTCAAAAAATAATGTTTTTATTTCAAACAAGAAGCCACTATCACAGTTGCATGGAAACATTATTCCTGGTAACAAGCAATGTTCCTGTAACTCAGACCTCCAGTTAAGGCCAACAAATCCATTAGCTTCTTGATCCCAACCAACTTCTTTCAGCTCAAGTGAGAGGAAGTCATTAATAATATACCAACACAGTGATCCTCCTACAGCACAACATCTCAAGTTTTAGAGTCTGCTTCAACATTTACAGAATGAAAGCATAAAGTGGGAGGGGGGGGGAAATAAGTCACCTATAGGAAATTACTTAAACTCCACGTATAGGATAAGCCAGCCTTTCACAAAGTGGAGGTTTTTTTGTCAGTCATCCCAAGTAACAGCACTCTATCATCTCTGCATACAGAAGGGTGACAGGCTCTCAACAACACCCCCAGAAGCATTTGTGGCTATGCTTACTGTATGGAGTCCTTGGACTAGAGCTCGCTTTGACATTTAAGGCCTTCAGCTTTTGACCTTCGTAATGGAAGACAGTTATAATAGATGCCATAAATTTCATAACTACTAGCATTATGATTGATACATATACTAAAAACTTTTAACCTATCAACTTGTTTACTTTTAATTTTTAGCCCAGTCCTTACTAATTATCCAATTAGTTTACTTATAAGCTTGCAGAAATCATTCTAGAAGTATTTTTCACTGAGCTCTGCTGTAAGGGTCTTGGTGTAAGGGCTTGGAAGGGTAAAAAACCAAAAACCCACACAGGAAACAGACAGAGAACCACAAATATGAAGAATATTACAAAGTTGCATATAATTTTTTAGTAAGTCCAAATATTACCAAGGGCCAAGCAAAAAAGGTGCCCCATTAATACCTAGATGGAAGGAAAAGTGAGCCAACTAACTAGCAGAACTAAATAAAATGGATTTAATCTCGAGAACAAGAATTTATTAAAACAAGCCAAGCACTTAAGCAGATGTTCCAGTTTCTTTTAATGCAGAAAGTCTACTTGTAGCTCCTAACGATACTCTGACTCAACCAGTCACTATGCAATCAGTTTGCCAAGAGACAAGGAGCCACTCTTAACTGTACGCCAGACACTCATTTAATACTGTTCAAGGAAGGAATGGGGTCAAAAGCAGCATCAATGGCGTGATTTCTAACTCTATAGAAAGATGGTGATAAGCCAGATGTTCCAATGAGTGCTTCAAAACCACTGAAAAAAAGAAAGCTTTATCTTATTGGTTTATTTTAAGCACTTGAACACATTCTTCCCTGGCCCACTAAGTTGGTATTAGATTCCAAAAACACATTTTGCACTCATAGCACTCTCCAGCTTTTAAATAACAGCATGGCCTCCTATTATCATTTTTAATACACAGCCAGTTAAAGCAAGAAATATGCTTATTCATATGAGCAATTAAACAACAGTAATTCAGCAAAGTTAGGCTTTGTAATCTCTCATCAGCTCAAACAAGCCATTTGATACTATTCACTGTATCAGTCAAGCATGTCTGAGGCAAGTGCTCTAACAAGCGGCATGAGCTAAGCACCCAGAGTTGCCATTTAGCATTCTATTTTTGAAAGATGCTTACAGAATTATTTCCATAGGAGAAATTTTTATTATTTGTTTTATGACAACAGAGTTCTTGACCTGTACACAGCATGGAAAAAGACCATGGACTAACCTAAATGCTAGGGACACAAAGTATTTAGGCTATCGAAGTCAGAGCCAAGACCTGGTTCCTGCATTTCAGATCAGAAAAGGAATGGGAATCAGATAAGTTCAGCACCTGTAATGAATCTAATAATTAGTACTTACATAGATGAGCCCAGAGTAATACCGATCCTTTAAGTTATGCAATACTGAGGCTTCATTTAAACAGGTTAGTTCTGCCATGTCTTCCACTTTAGAGAACTTGGGAGGATTCATCTTCTGAATGTCATCTTTATTGACCAGTGCTTTCTTTCCATTCTCTGCCAGTTCGACCAACACTTCATCCCCTTTTTCCTCCTTGATGCTGGCTGCCTCAAACCCATGGCGCTCTGAAGGAATCCACACCAACTTCTTAGCAGTCCAATCAGCCTGGGTGGCAGGGTTGTAGATTACAGCCCTATCCACAAAGAGGTATCTCTCTGGATCTTCCTGTCCAGATCTCTGTGCCATTGTAGAGGTGAAGGTGTCCACTATCAGTTACCCTGTAAATGGGAGAGGAAAAAAAGCAAAGAGTATGTTACATACCATATTCTTATCGATGAAATGGATGGCACTACAGCACAGCAATTAGATGATCTGTCACCAATATCTGTAACGGTGCTCCTTCATCAAGAGAGGGTAATTTATTCCATAGTCTAAAGAAGTTGCTGTACAACTGAGAGCCCCTTATTCACACAGCAGCCTTCTGAATAAACCAACTGCCATCAAAAGTTAAAATGACCTGTCTAGTATAATCCCAGACCCAGTACAGGGAACTCTATTTAAACTGGTTCTGATTGTGCACCAACTATGGAAAGACATTGTAACAAATGTAAGAACTACAGGCAGGAAAAATATGCATCTGTCTCCTATCCTTAAATAACAAAGAAGAAGAAATTTAACAAAAGCTTGCCAATAAACTCAACTTCAGTTTAACAGTAAAAAATAAATAAGATGTAAAAATATTAAAAAATGTTCAGTGGATAGCTAACTACAGTAACCAGAAGGCAGCAAGAATGTGTTAAAATGGGGATTTTCAAGTACAGGCAAGAACTTAAGGCACTTGGGGTTTCTGCAAGCCATTGAGGTAGCTAAACCTTGCTCATATGCTTCTTGAAAAACATAAGACTTTGCATTTCTACAGCCCGCTTCTGTTCTCAGTCCTGAGCACTGACATTACCATATTCAAAAAAAAAATGTCTCCAGATCTCAAGTTTACCTTGAGGCTCAAGACACAGCAAGGACTGATGTTAGATTTTCCAACAGCTTCATGGGTAATTTGAAGGGGAAAGAAAAACTGCTGACAAGAGCTCCTGCACACTCATTTTACCTTTTCGCCTCTATCTAAGAGAGGCCCCCGCATTTTTAATTAATAATATTGCCACATCGGGGTTTCCTGGAGCTAGCAGTTTCATCTGTAACTGCCCAAGGAGCAACAAGGTCAAGCCTGATACCTAGTACTCAGTTCATTAAATATCTGGGTTTTTTCACACACTAGATCTTTTCTGGTGAAGAATGTTATGTTAGCTAATGGTAACCAGCAGGTAACCGAAAGGTTAGCTTCAAACACAAGGCAGGTTTCGCAAACTGCGTTTGTCATCTTTCATACTACGGTATGCACCATGATGGAAGAAGTTCTGCAACACACCCATCCTCAGAAGAGGATGTAATTAAATACAGGAGTTGCATCTCCATCTACAGCATGGACATTTCTTACATTGTCCAACTTTAATGCAAAGTAAGCATGAAGTCATTGAACCCTACAGAGGTTTGAGGAGCAGACCGTTTACTACAGACGGCTTAATTCAAATCAAGAGGTGATGACTCAACATTTAAAGCATTTTAGAAGAGCCTCTGAGAGAAAAATTCAAGTAAGAAAGAGGGCATCATTGAGGGGGCACCTTAAGTGACAGCTGGATTCCTCAGCCAGGAAAACAAAGAAATTAGTCCAGGAATGCTACGGTTAGCTCAAGAAGCCCACAAACTTAATATCCGAGCCTTCAGCCCCAATTCAGATAGCTGTTTGTCTCCGCTGTGCTAGACTACAGCTGAAGTTCCAACAAAGACCTGAAACACCATTGCTGCCCTCGTGTGCAAATGCATCATCTCAGTGTCAAACCTCTAAAAGCTCCCTGGCCAGGGCCAACAGACAGACAGCCAAGCACCTTTATGATAAGCTCGGTCTCAGTTTCGCACACTGAGATGTAGTGAAACCTAGAGGTCAGATAAAACTCATCTGACAAAATTAATCAGTATTGTTCCCCAGTGGACTTAAAGGCTGAAGACTGAAATGAATGCATGGACTGACTTCATAGCAGTTCCTGAGGAATGTACCTAACACCAGGGGATCACAGGCAGTTTCAGGGTCATTTGTCCACTTTGGCTTTTAATTCCTCAGAACCCATCACAAAAGACCCTCTGCAGAAGGAGAGCAACTTGCAGCTTACTCTACCCAGGCTCGCCCGTTAACAATAGCATTCAAATGAAATACACAAACGAGCACATTTATCATGCAGGAATCTAGCGCTCCCAAAAGCCAAAAAAA